CCTTGGGTGTAACCCATCAGGGCTGGCTGACTTGAAGGTATCCAGCCTGTTAAGGTGTTCCTTCATGAGGTCAGCTTTGATGGAGGGCAAGGAATCTCCCTCACCTGGGCCTCCCTGTCCCACAGTGGGCAGGGGCGTCCCATGGGACTGGTGAAAAACTGATGCAAAGTACCCATTTAGCAAGTTCGCTTTTTCCTGGGCATCGGTTGTCAGTCTCCCCATCTGGTTTAGTGTTAAGTATGGATTAATGGCTTCCCCAGGCTTAGTCAGGGTAACAAAGCTGTGGTTTTGGGCCACTCCTGGGCTCGCTGCAAAGAAAACTTACCAGCAAGGAGAAAAGCATGCAGGAAGTCCTGCAGTCTTAAGAGGACTGGGGGGGGGGGGAACCCTGCCCCTTCCTATACCCCGCCACCATTCCATTGTGTCATATTTTGTATAACCCCACCTCCCTTCCATAGCCCTGATCCTTCACTTGCATAACACTGCTTCCAGTCACACCCTCCTACTCCTTTTCCCCACCCTCTCATTGCATCGCTTGCATAATCCCACCCCTTGTAGAGATAGCCCTGCCCCCTCCCCTGCTCCAAGACTACAGGACTTCCCATGTGCTCTTCTCCTTGCCAGTACACTTACTTACTTTTATTTTGCATGGAGCCTGTGCTTTTTTGCGGAGCCTGCCTGAAATTGCAGTTTCTGTGAAAATTACACAATCATGATTTCAGTATGTCTTTATATATATGTGTGAAGACTACTTAGTACAAACACATAGGTTTCAATCTGCCATGGGTTTTATGCTTTCAAAGAATCATAAAAATGTAATAGGAGCAATGCAAAATAGAAAGTGTTTCATAAGTTCTGTTTAATGATTTAGCAAGCATTTTGCATGCCTTTTGGGGACTGTTGAGGGAGAAATTTTGGATTTAGGCTTATAAGAACCTAATAATGTCATGCACCATTGTGCCTAACAGGATATACGGACCAGCAATGCCTAATAAAGGCAAAATGCCAGTAGTGCTTAAATATAAATGCATTTATACTTCTCTTGCAGTGTACATTTTTTTTTTAGCAAAGATATTTGACTTTCTGTTTAAAAGTGGTATCCAGGAATTTAATGATGATTACTAACCAGCTGGTGGGATTTAACTTGTATTTCAGAAAAAAGAAATCCTAGTGTCTTCCAAAAGGCTTTGCTCATGAAACAGGCATTGGAAAATCATATTTCTTTCTTAACTACTTTTTAACCTAGTAATACAGTAACACTTAGGATTACTGTGTGTTAAGATTAATCAACTTGATGCATTTGATAACACTATATAGTCAATATTTGTTTCTTTAGCAGAGTTACTTTTTCCTCCTTTGGGTTTTCCCTGCTATTTTGAACAGGGTTATCCACAGAAGAAGAATGTGTGTATGAAATGTAAAATAAATAAAAAAAACATATACTGACAGGGGATTATGGGACTTGAGGAGATAACCTATTTCTAACTCAGGCTGGTGAGAAAACAAGAATGTTCTCTCATTGTCAATGATGGGTCAGTTTTTTTCTTTCATCCCACTTTTATTGGGCTGAAACAAGCTTTTGAATTTTTTTTTTCAAAGAGCAACAATGGGCAAGAGACCTCTACTTCAGAATAGCTGTTTTGCTCTGTCACTTAAAATTTTAAATGAAGCTGGGTTGGAAAGGAAACATTACAGACTGTAATTTTAAGTAACAAGTTGGTCTTTGTCTGTCTCTGTGTAGGGTTGCAAGCCAAGTAGCAGCTTTGGATTTGGGTTTCAAACCAGGAGTAGATGCAATTCAGAAGAATCCTCCCAAAGTATTATATCTCCTGGGGGCAGATGAAGGTTGCATAACACGTCAAGATTTGCCAAAGGATTGTTTCATCATTTATCAGGGTAATCAGCACAATTAATGAATGAAACACTGCGTAGAACTTGAACACTAACAAGCAGCACATATGAATAGACTCTATCTTTTTACAAATGGTAGCTTTTAAAGCTTGCCATAAGAGAAATAGTATAAACTGAACTGTGGAAAATGTATTAATAAACTGCTGAAATTGTATTAATACATAATTTAAATATGAAAACAAACATTCTTGCATATTACATAGCTCTGGTGACAGGTAAAGAATTATAAAGCTGCTTTACTTCCTAGGTCAGTTTCTTATTCACTGGATTTGAAGTGGTTACTAGCAGAAAACTCCGGTGGCTCTAAGCAACATGTCAAAGTCATTGCCAATAAGCTAGGTACCCTTGTAACCTCATCTCAGTCTCAGCAGAGCCTGGAAGTTGAATGGATATGGAGACAGAACTACCATTTTGGCAGTGGTTTTGGGCAAGTAGGTTGCAGTATGGACAAATAAGACTTCAGTATCCAGGGCTGCTGGTCTGGTTTAAATTTTATGAATGGCAAGTTAACTCAAGTAAATTTCAGAAGAAAAGAGGAGTACAGTAGCTGTAACGTTAATATAGCATTCCTCTTGAATGATGTTTATCAATGCCCTGCAGTTTCTTCCTGAAAATTGACTGTTTTTCTTTGCTTCCTTTTTGTTTGTTAGGACATCATGGTGATATCGGTGCTCCCATGGCTGATGTTATTCTACCAGGTGCAGCTTACACAGAGAAGTATGCAACGTATGTGAATACTGAGGGCCGAGCCCAGCAGACAAAAGTAGCAGTAACCCCACCTGGCATAGCGAGAGAGGACTGGAGAATTATTAGAGCAGTCTCCGAGGTACTGTAACTATTAGAAATTGATGCTTCCTAATTGGAATCCAAATGGAGCTTGGAAACTGCCTATAATACATAATGGTTCAGTAATGTGGATATAATCTCCTGGGAAAGTGGATAAGACTAAATTGATAGGAAGCAACACTTCTCGTTTTTCTGTAGGGTAAAAACTGTGTTCCTCCTTTTTCTGAGGTTTTGACATACAGTGTTGTAGTTGCTAGATATCCTGCTAAATATGCTGTGAGAACATACAGTGGGTTGTACCTTGCCCAGCTCTTGGGAATATGTGGATGTGAATAGGTACATTTTAATAACAGTATCTATGCTAACCTGAACACAATGGAGAGGTCTGGCCATACCATCTGTATGGGAGAAGAGAAGCTTCCTTTGCTGCCCAATCCCCCTTGTCCAGAAAACATTCTAACTCCTTAATATCTGGAAGTCAACCTAATTTACTGCAATTCTAAAGACAGAAGAAATGCTCTGCTCAGCTACATTTGGCTTGATGAGTATATATTATTTGGGATTCCCCCCTCCCTCCTTACCTATTTTTTGTAGATAGCTTTTGGATTTAATGTTTTTAAATATTGAAAAAGAACTTCTACACATGCAATTAATGTGCCTGAATAAACTGTGGTGCAGCTCGTATTGGAGTCCTGCTGCGCTCAGGAGCAATGTTTATACGTGTGCCCAGGACCACAGCACATTGAGCCAGAGCAGCGCAGCCCTAGCTGGCAGAGGGCCTGGGGGGAGGAGGGGCTGTTCAGCTTGCTAACCTGGAGTTGCTCTGCCCCAGCTCAACATGCTGCAAAGGGGCTTGCTGGGGCATGAGGGTGCTACAGTACAGGGCTAGCAAGCAGGCAACCTTGCACTATAGCACCCTCATGCCTCAACCAGCCCTGGTCACCTTCTACACGTGCGTTGCAACAGAGTAAATAACTCCACTGTAGGAGTAGTATGTGTCTGGCAGACAAATCCTGCAGCAGAGTTACTTTTAGCTTAATAGCACTGTGTATGTGGATGGTGATGCTTTACTGCAGAGTTGGTCAACTCCACAGTAAAGTGCATGTGTAAATGCCTTCAAAATGTATTATTTGGAACCTTAGACTTGATGTCTTGTGTGGTGGTGTTGTGTTTGTGGATCTTTTTTAGCTGGCTGGTATGACTCTCCCGTATGATAACCTTGATCAAATAAGGAACCGATTGGAGGAAGTGTCTCCTAACCTGGTCCGATATGATGATGTAGAAGCAGCAAATTACTTCAGCCAAGCAAATGAGCTGTCCAAGGTATAAATCATTTTTAACAATGAGCGTAACATTCTTTAAATCATTGAACATGTAATGATTTGCAGATGCATATACTATACTACATAAGCAACTGTATAGCAGGTGACCTTGAAGATTTTTTTCTCAGTCAGGTGCTCTGGTAACAGGGTCCTGCTTCAAAGACAATTACTTCTCTTGATACGCTTTTTCTTTCATTGCAGTTAGTGAATCAACAGCTTCTTGCTGACCCTCTTGTTCCACCCCAGCTCACAATTAAAGACTTCTATATGACAGGTATGTGGCCACTTATGTGATGAAGGTTATACTTATTAACAGTAACTAATTATATACTTATTTTGTGCTGTTGCGTTGGAGCCACACAGATGCATATATTTTTTAAAGATGCCACCAACAAATTAAGGGGTCTTAAAAAGAAGCTATCTTTAATCACCCTGACCTTGTTTTATCTACTGTTATATGTGGTCTCTTAGACCTGGTTTGATAAACCTGTAATCTTTATTTAAACATAACTCCCAAGAAGCTCAGAAGAAACTTGCTTGAAATAAGGTTTGTAGGATTAGGTTCTACATTTTATTTAATGGGGGGGGAGGGACAGTTATGAAGTTTGTGTAGAGGAGGCTTTTAAGTTATCTGTATGCATTTGTATTGCCTGAAGTGAAGTGCACACATCGGTCTCTTTGCAGATCCAATCAGTAGAGCATCCCAGACAATGGCCAAGTGTGTGAAAGCTGTTGTTGAAGGTGCTAAGGCAGTAGAAGAGCCATCGATCTGCTGAAGAAAATGATCATGTCACTCTCAAACAAGTTCTGGCAGTATGTTGCTATGACTAATGTTCAACAAACACCTTTAAGTGATGCTGTATTATGTTTTAGATTCATATCTTCAAAAATATAGTACACATAACTTAACATTTTCAGGATGTTGTCACTGTGTGTTGTGTGCAGTGTTTATACCTAGAAACACTTTATGCAGCCATTGACTGTACAAACATAGTATGATGATAAAACATTTAATACCTATGATTGGTTTGGTTTATGGTTCTCCTGCATATAAATTTCAATAACCGAAGCCTTCAAGAAAGTTTACAGGGGAAAAATACTGGAAACATTGCATCAGGATGGCTAGTATCGAAAAATCCAATTCTTGACTGTTTTGAGCATTTTGAGGTTGCAATGATCCTATTGTTGTATACCAAGGGGGAAATGTGTGCCTACTATACTGAGTAACACATTGCATACACTTACAAAAACTAGCTTTGGTTGGTTTTGGTGTTCATTTATCCCCTGCAGAAAAATTTTACTTGCAAAAATTGTAAAATCTGTCTGACATCTTTGTCACAAACCTGTTCCACACAAAGTTGTCACAATTATTCCTCCTTCCCCCCACCAGTCAAGACTTTAATATTATAAAGAAGATCTCAGTGATTAGGCTGGCTTATCACCATAATACTTACAATCTAGACCACCTCTTCTCTGAGAACAGCTTTTCCAGCATTTGCTACATTTCATTACAACAGAGTAAAAGATTTTGGCTTCAGAATAGTTGACATTTTAGAACAGTTGGTTGTAAACATTTGACTCCAAACCATGTCTCAACTTTTTTTTTTAAGTCTCCAGTAAGCAAGGTGTAAATGAAAACTGTCACAATTGGCAAATGTTTAAATTTGCCAAAAGTAAACTGGAAAAAAGTTCTTTAAGTTTATTGTACTGTTGTGAAAAGAAGTAGTGGCTCCTAGTCTCTGTTCTTTCTGCGATCTGTGAATTCCAGATCTTTGGACTTGCAGCACTGCTACTTTGACTGAGCAGTTTTGTGTTGCATGGGTAAAAACAGTAAGATCATTTTAGTTACACAAGGAATAGCAAACTACTGCACCTTGAGCAACTTGAATGTGATCATCCACAGGGGAATTTTAGTCACTTAAGCATGAAGTGTTTCACTGAGACGTGTAACTACAGTAGAGTCTCCCATACAATGCGACAATGCATAGAATTCTCTGAAACATGACTTTGCCTTTAACTGATACAGTAAAAAAAAGTTCTGTTGTCATTTTAAAGTAGCTGTGAAATATGATCTGCAGGGAAGTGGAAATATGTACACTTGTACACACACACAGCACAAAAGGACGTGCTCTTCAATTCATGAACAGCGTTGACTTTCAGTGCTCAGCTTAAGAAAATTCACATCCTTCTAATATTGAAGGGACAAGATTGATCAAAAAACATAATAATTGTGCCCTTGTTACCCACACTTACCTATTAATAAATCTACCACTTATGTCTCTTCACTGAATGAAAATACATTGGTTGGTTTCCTAGTATTTTGATGTTGGGGTTGTTCCTGAAAGTGTCTGAAAAGTCACACATACTTCTAACTTTTTAAATATATGAGCTAAACTATTTGTATTTTGGGTTTGGTTAATATGATTTAAATCAGCAGAATTACTTTACAACAACCATGCTACAAACTGGAAAGTTCACAGTTGCTACTCATTGTTAATATATATCAAAATTCCAAAGAAGTGGAAGTGTTTAACTTGTAAGAATTCTATTTTTAAACCAACATTCAGTTTTTACCTAATTTATCTGATGGTGTCTCATAAATGCTTCAGAAATGGTTTTACTTCAGCATTACATGGTCTTTTGCCTTTTTTTCTGGAAGGCTCATAAGTCACATGCTCACATGGGAATCTCTACTTTCAGTAGTTTCTGGTCTTTGTTACAGACACTAAAGCAGTCATCCCCAAACTTTTGTAGACTTAAGACTTTCTTAAGACTCCTTTCTTGATTATGGGTAAGTAATAGAACAACTCTTCTGTTGTGATTAACTTGGGCCACAACAGGTCAGAATATTTTAATGCTATGGCTTGCTGTTTGAAATGTCAGTTTATTTTGTGAATTGTGTAGGTGTTTGCATACCTACCAGTGCTAATATGGTTCAGCATGCTTAAGAGGATCTTGCCACATCCCAGAGTAGCGTGGCACCCGCTTTGAGAATCACTACCCTACAGCTTAAAAAACAATAACCACTATAAATAAAAACTGGTTTAAAATATTTTATTAATAATGATATTTTTTTGTTTTGAAGTCAGCAGTAGTGTTCAGGGTTTTTCAAATTATTTCATGTTCACATGAAAATATCTTAAAAATTAAACAGTGACAGCTGGGACAGTGGGAGAAAAGAGTGGATCAGTTAACCAAGCAGTCTAGGGAGAAAGTATCAGAAACACAATAAGAAAAAGATTATTAGAAAGTGGATTGACAATCAAAATCACATTAGTATATCATACTGCAGCAGAATAAGTGTTACAAATGTCTCTTTTTTTGCATGAATGCTGCTTTGAGTTAGCTCAGAGTTGGACTACACTTCCTACAATGCAGCAGCTGTACCTCGTGTTTCCTGCATTTGCAGCATTTTGCCAGTCACATGATGAGTTATGCTCCTAAAGTCTCCACCCCTCAGAGGGAGGGAAGAATCTGTCCAATTGTTAAATGCCCACTTCACCCAACTCAGTAGTAGGTAAATAGACTTCTACCTGTCAGCTGAATTTTTGTAAGTGTGGAACAGAAGGGACAACCTGGTATATTTCCAGTAGTGGTTTTGGAATACTTTTCTTCTTCCAGACAGCCCCAAGGCTGGAAAAGAACAAGAGAGTTTGCACTTTTTCTATGACTTACCAGTTTAAATTCAGTATCGGGGGGGTAGGGTCAAATCCAAAAAAGGATTTAGTTAGACTTTAGGCCAGTTCTGTTTAAGCCCTATTGTAATCCAAATAGGAGGTAGAATAGCACCTAAGTACTTTGAAGGACCATATCTAGTAGGCATTTTCAGAGCATACGTAACACATGTGAAAAGATTGGGTCTCAAAATAATGTAACTGCCTCTGTTCTATTTTAAACACAATTGGAAGGAGAGAAAAAATTGGTGCTCAGTCCCAGCTCCCAGGATTGCCCGCTGTAAGGGAGTGTCTTAACACTAAGGTAATGAGGGAGGCTCTCCCGTTCTGCCCTTGTCCCCCCTCACCAGACTATTCTCTTCTGTGTAGTGGCAAAGCTCTAACTACTAGACTATTATATAAGAGAGCAGCAGTGGCAAGCACCATCACAATCTTTGTTTTAAAAGAGTGAGCCCCAGCCAGCTCTTTCAAAGACTAGTTACAGGTAGGGCCCTGAGAAAATTGTGATTTTTGTGGACTGCACAGATACTGTAAAATTAACCCCATGCCATGATTTTTAAGGGTCACAGAACTGCCAGAAAAACTGGCAAAAGCGCAGGTTTCCCTTTCTAGGCAGGCAGCGTTCCAGCTTGCAAACGGCTGCTGTGGGCAAGGCCAGGATGAAGTATATAGGGAGCAGGGGGGGGAAGAGGGGTTGGAGGGCCAGGGCTTGGGGACTGGTGGAGTGGGGTGGGGTTGGGAGGCAGTGTGTGCACCATGGATGGGGAAAGAAAATATTATTGGGGGGGGGAGACTGAGTGTACACACACACACACACGCACACCCCCAGCAGGTTAAGTTTGTGTAGAGGAAAGGGGCAGGGGGGCAAACTGAGGCCCCCAGGGTGAGAGAGGGAGTGGGGCAGGGGCGAATGGGGCCCCAGGGTGAGTGGTGGGATGGTCAGAGCCCAGTTATTCATTCAAGGGTGTAGGGCTCCCGCTGCGTGCATCCTGGGAGAGTCATGGGAGGTATGGTTCCCCTGGATTTGTGCGTGGGCTGGAGGTGGGCTGCCACTGTGGGCTGGACTTCGCTCTGCACCCTGCTGTCTTGGGAACTACACATGATGCCATGTACCTGCCACTGCCAGACTGCGCTGTGTCCCCTGCCTGCCCAGAGGCAGCAGGCACATGGCACCACATGGCTTGCAAGGCAGCAGCAGCAGGGCAGAGCCCAGTCCACAATGGCAGCCTGCCTCCACCCTGCACACAAAACCAGGGGGCATGTTCCCCCCCATACCTCCCCCAGTGTATGTGCAGCAGTGGGAGCCCCCCCACCGCCGCCCCTGGATGAGCCACCCAGGCTCTTGACTCCCACCACCCACACTGGGGCTCTGTTTACCCTAGTCCCTACCCCACTCCCTCCCTCACTGGGGGCCTCAATTTGGCTCCCCCCACACCCCTTCCCCTTCACAGACTTGCTTGCTGTGGCATGCAGTGCGCTGCAGGCCGCCAGGCTGTGATCCTGGCTGCATACAAGCTGTGGATCCAAGTCTGTGTCTGTGTGTCCCTCCCATGCCTGGGCTGCCCTGTGGCCCTCTGCGCTGCCACCACTGCCCCATGTTCAGGGGGGCTAAGCCCTATTAGCCCTGGCCTTCTGCTGTCTATGGTACCTGCTGCACATGCAGAGATAAAGTATCATTTTTACAGAATATTCACGGAACTACCGGGAACCATTTGCCAAGATCAAAGGTAGTTCCATGAATGTTCCATGAAAAATTATACTTTACCTGTGCACATGCTGCGAATTTTCTACAAGAAATCTGCAATCTTCTCAGAGCCCTAGTTATAGGTGCTTTTCCTCAGGAGAGGGTTCTGAAAAGCAGAAAATCGCAGACATGCCCCTGTGCTCAGCGTGCCCCATTGGCTGTTCTACGCAGCTCCTCACTCAGCATGTACATTTTTTAGACTGGCCTTTGGAAATGTCTACTTTTGCCCACACAGAGAACCTAGATGGCTAATGCTAGATCCTGGAATCCACTCAGGTGGTAGAAGCCTAAAAGGGAAGTGTCTGAGAATTTTGCTGAATCTGGCCCTAGTACCCCCTTCCCCCCCTCCCCCAA